TGTTTTTTTTTTTTCTTTTTTTATTTATTTATTTTTTTCCTTTTTTTTTAATAAATAAAGAAATTGGGGGGGGGGGCAGTGTATTAAGATGGAAAAATACTCCCACACTTACCCACACTTAAAACAAACATTTTGTTGATAATAAAAAAAAGAAGAGTTTTTAAAGGAGCTCTAATGTAAAAAAAAAAATTTTTTAATGATTTAAATTTGATATTTTGATTTGATGCTGCAGTAGCTCTGAAAGGCTGATTAGTTTATGGTGGTCAAAAGTATAAAAAATTGTATTTTTGATCAGTTAAATAATGTGGTCAACTTTTATCTCTAAGGCACATTTATGGTTATAAAGTTCAACGACCTTCTGAGGGTTAATAACGTGGATAAACTCAGCTGTAAAGTATACTTTTGTATACTTTCAATAAAATCTTACTGGTCACACAAAACTGTTTGGATTAAATAAAATGTAAAAGGAACATAAGTGACTATTTGTGTAAAGGAGTGTAAATATAGAATGGTGAGCTGACCTGTGAAAGGCAGCAGGGAGGGAAGTCCAACCTTTTGACAAATACAAGCTGTGGGTGTTAAAGGAAAAATGGTCAGGAAGCTCTTATCCAACGGTTGTTAAAGGTTTATGTTCCTTTCTGTTCTCGCCAACAGTTTATTTATTTGTGTGTGTGTTTGTGCAGGGCGGGCTGGTGAACAACATTGAGCGCAGTGTTCTGAAGGCCCAGGAGTACGTGGAGGAAGCAAAGGAGCGCATCCCAAAATGCAAAAAGTTCAAAAAGACCAGCAAACGGGTGACATGATTGTCTTTGTGTCCTTTTCATCCCTCCCCTCTGTACGCCTCTACATCCACTCCTCTTCCTGCCCACACATCTGGCTCCTTCTTTCTGTCCGTGCGTCTCCCTCTCCTCCCCTGGAACTAACCTTCTCCTAGGGGGAGATGATAGACCGCATAGAGTACAACGTGGAGCACTCGGTAGACTATGTGGAGAGGGCGGTTTCAGACACTAAGAAGGCGGTTAAATACCAGAATAAAGCTCAGAGGGTGAGTGGCTCAGGCAGGGCATGCAGAAAGTGGAGTGACGTGTTTGTTGTCGCGTGCGTGCATGTTCACCCGTCATGTCGTTTGTTAACCGAGCCTTTAGTTCAGACTCATGAATGGCAGTCACTGCAGCGTTGGTCTAAACTGAACAAACCAGATCCAAGTGCACCGGGTTCATCTTTGCACACAGAAGAGGCAAACAGGTTTGTGCTGCAAATATTCAGTCACAGAGATGGTTCTTAGCAACATTAGTGCAGAACGACGGTGACTGGAAACACACCACGGCAGCGTTAAGCTTTCTCACCTCTGCTTCCTGCGTCACTTCGCTAGATTCACGAATTTAACACAATCTGCTTTTTAACACACGAGCTGTGAACATAACAAATAACGTACCAGAGAATAAAGAACACAAAGTGAGTTTTATTCGTCTTGAAACCTGAACACATTTTGTTCATGTGACGTCTTTAACTGTTGGACAAGTCCAGTTAGCTGCTACAGAAAACTTTAGTTGCATATAAATAATCTTGTTCTAAAACCGATTCTAAATGTCATCAAAACAAAAAGTGTTTACAAGTGACCTGTTTAAGGACCCGATGGTTAAGGTTTATCATTTGGACCAGAGATCAGATGAAATAAATCCACCAATCTGATCCCTGATCAATTTTCAACAGAACAACTCTGCCCCCTGCTGGTTAGGATGTATAACAGCACCTTAAGTCCTTTCTTTCTTACCTCATTTATTTATTTATACCATATTCCTTCCATCTTTATTCTCTCATTTCTTTTTTCCCCCCTTTCTTCCGTTCTTCTATCCTTGTTTCGTTTGTCCCTTTTCCTTTGTCTTCATTCCTTCTTTTGTTTCTTACTTTCTACCCTTATTTATTTTACTTATACCACATTCCTTCCTTCTTTATTCTCTCATTTCCTTTTCCTTTCTTCCATCATTGTTTTTTTTTTACCCTTTTTCCTTTCTGACTTCATTCTTTTCTACCCTTATTTATTACAGTATTTTTTTTATTTATACCACATTCCTTCCTTCTTCATTCCCTCATTTCCTTTTTTTCTTGTTTCCTTTCTTCCATTCTTCTATCCTTCCTTGTTTCTTTTGTCCCTTTTTCCTTTCTGTCTTCATTCCTTTGTTTCTTCTTTTCATCTTTTTCTTCCTTCATTCCCTTCTTTTAGTTTTCTTTAAAGTCCCCCCACCTCCCTCTGACTCCTCATGTGACATTTGTCTTTTCTTGTCCTTCTGCAGAAGTTGCTCCTGGTAGGAGGTTGTGTCTCAGTCCTTCTGACCGTCCTGATAATTTCCCTCGCAGTGGGACTCAGTTAGGACCCTCACAGTGTCCCACAGGACAATTAGGACCCTCACAGTGTCCCACAGGACAGACAGGGACCATGTGCTGCCTCTGATTACTGACTGTCCAGCAAACTCTTTGAAATCTGTTCGTGTATTTATTTTTTACCGTAGAGCAGCTTGAAAAATGCAGCGATCCTTGAGCTCAGTGGGTTTTAACGTTGGACCCTGTTTGTTTTTGAACTTGATCAGAATTTAAAGACATTTTGCAAATAAAGTTGGTCCTTTACATTTTTTTGTCCGACTACAAACGGGCGTCAAAATGGAACGTTTTAATGTTTCACTCGTTTAGAATTAAAATGAGAATAAGTCATGTTTCTGTTGCATGTGGGAATAATCCTACAGAGGCTGAAAGAGCTCATCATCCTGTAATGTTGAAACATAAAAAGTAGTTTTTAAATTTGCATGCAGTTTGTAAAATTACACAATACATGCAAATACACAGCCATGTTCTGTGGGTTGACATTTAACTAACTAAACTAAACAAATTATTTATGTGAAGTTCACAAAGTGAAATTATACTTGTATATATTGTTACTGAAAGTTGCACCAAAGTGCTGTATGGATGAAACTGACAGTAACACAAAATAAAACTTGCATACATGTAATAAACCTTACAAATGGAAAAACTTCACTGCCACAAAAAAAAAACAGTCCCAAGTTTTCTTTGGTTGGACCGTGTTGAGCTCTTTCTGCCTCTTTAAGATGAACTACTGTTAGTTGAGGCAGCTGTTGTTTTCTTTTTGTGCATGAAACGAACAAAATGCAGGATCCAAAGACTTAAAGATGAGCTTGAACAGTAGTAGTTTCAGATTACAGATGAGTCAGGTTCAAGTTCATTCTGTTTATTCATAGAGTCAATCCATAACAAGAGTCGTCTCTGGGCACTGAACAAAAATATTCATACGCATTAGTCAAAGTTATCTGAAGAGGACAGCAGATTGCATTGAATCTTTACCTCCTTGTAATCTCCCATCCTGAGCAGCACGTTGGCGACAGTAGAAAGGAAAAACTAACTTTTAACAGAAAGAAACCTCCAACACACCTGGGCTCAGAACAGATGGGGTTTGAGAGGACAGGAAGGAGACGGAGACAAACACAGCTGGTCTGGGTGTAGTCAAACATGGTAATGATGGAAATAATTACAAAGATGAAGAGTAGATCGAGTAACGACAGAGTGAGGAGACGTGGTCCATTTGTCCTCCCGCAGTTCAAACCTTTAGCAGGAGAACCATGGGATAGCTCAGGCCAAGCCAACCCGAACTATAGGATTTATCAAAAAAGGAACGACTTAATCCAAGTCTTATACGTAAACAGTGCGTTTGTGTCTCACAGACAGAAACAGGAAGTTGGTTCCACAAGACAAGAACAAACATGTCTTCAGAGAGTGAGAAGCTTACAGGTCTCCTGTTGTAGAAAAAAATTGTTTCACGGATGATCAGGTGTAGATTTCATCATATTTATTACAAAGCTTTGGAGAACAGCCAGACTCAGAGAGTCAATGCATCACAAGTACAGAACGCAGTCATTCCTTGTCCCGTCTGAGTCTCTGACCTGCTCTGACTTTCTGAAATGAAAAAGGTTAGTTTTGTAGAGAATTCTTCAGGGCCTTCCCCTCCCCCTCACCTTCAGCCTCACAGAAAGGAGAATAGTTTTCTACTAGGGATGCACGATATTATCGGCATGGTATCGGTATCGGACGATATTAGCGATAAAGTTAAATATCAGACTTCAGCCGCTGTTTTTGTACGACAACCCAGTGACAAGGAGATTTGAGTTGATCGTTAAGCTTGTATAACCACGTATTGGGCTTCTGTTTTAAGTTAATTTTTAATTCAAGAAACTGTCAAGCATATCTATTAATGCACTTTTCACTTGTCGCTTGTGAACAGGTTGAATTTAGAATTGTGAACATTTACAATTTTTCACTGTTCAAGTGTTGTCATTGTGTTCGAGAGAGTAAATGTCATGAATAAATTTGACATTAAACACAATCCAAGTTGAAGTGTTACATCATTTTCAGACCCCGTTTTGGCATCTGCATTTGGTAGCAAGTCAAATTGACATAGACCATGCAGAATAATGTAGCATTTTAATTCCACAGCAGAGAAAGCTATGTAGTCTCTGTAAGTAGGTCTAGGGGAAAGATATCGGTTTTGGTATCGATTATCGACCAAATAAGTTTTAACATATTGTTACATATTATCGGCAAAAAATCCAATATAGTTCATCTCTATTTCTTACGGGTCTAGAGATACCCATCTGTCCACTGGTGCCATCATTCCACAAACACTGATACCAAAGCAATATTATATCAAATAACATTGTAATATTATTCACAATGACCTTAAAGTAATAAAATGATTGTAAAGGTTATGAATATGGTCAAATAATACTGAATGCATCAGGAAGCAGATCATTAAATAATATATTTATTTGTTGGGGCTACTACGTAGGCCCAACCCTGTTTAGCTTCGAGGAGCAGACGAGGTCAGATGTTCAGGGTGATGTGACTGTAAGTTAACTTTAGACTCCAAAAGTTCCTCAGCTGTAGACGTTCATCCAATAATTTTTTTCTAAGAGTTTGGTTAAAATCCCTCCAGTCATTCATTATCTGGCAGTTACATGATCGCCCACTTTTCCTGGTGGTAAACGTCTCTTTTAGTCTTCTACACTGTATTTTGTTCGGATCAACATAAACAGAAATGTTTGTTAAAATGAAGAACAGTTCAAACTTCTAATGAGCTTGTTTCTTTTTCTCAACTGCTGCGTGGGATTTATTTTGTTTGTTTGTTTCTTCTTCCTGTTTTTCTTCTGCAGAAGAAAATTATAATCATAGTATGCTGCCTGATACTGGGGATTACCATCGCTGCTATAGTCGGAACAATTCTGAGTTAAACCTGACCCGCAGCTACACACAAACGGTGTACAGGACCAGAGGTGTTCTCGCATGAGTCGCTATTTTGTAAATGTGTGGTGCTGCAAATCGACCAGATTATGCTTTCTGGGATGGAAACGTTGCAGAACATGTAATGCTGTAACTGATACATTCCAGCTTACACTGGTTTGTTCGTGACGTCTGTTTCGTGTTGTACGGACAGTGACGAGTCGCTCATCTGCAGTGTTGTCGAAGTCAGGTTATCGGATCTTTGTTTGATCTTTTTGTAGTATTTTTATGTATTTTGCCCAACTTCAGATGCCCTGCATGGTTTTTTTGTTTTTTGTTTTGATTATTTTTGGTGTTTTGTATTCTGATGCAAAGGGAAATAAGAACAAAAAAAGATCATTTCTGTACCGATGCCATCAAACTGTCAATGTTGTTTTCACGTAAATATGTTTTTTATGACTCAAGCAGTTCTACTGTATTTATATCATGTGATCCTACCTGTTAAGAAGCATTTCTACTTTATTTCCAGTGTTGACTGTGGGTGCATGCCTGCATGTTTAAGATAAGAGCACGTTCAACTGTAGCCAACGTGTCTGAATGGGAGTTAGTGGGTGAAACTGGTTTGTTGAAGCCAACTGTCCTTCTAAATTTTTACTGATCTGAAGCTCTAACACTGCCACCATGTCCCAGTGAGCTGGTTCTGGTCTGTAAATGACACACGCTATTAATTTTTGTTTGTTTGTTGACGTGAAGAGTCAGTGAAAGTTTAAAGTCAGAGTGAGCCTGTTAACGTTTTTAGGGACTCGTCAGACGTGCACAAACTTCAATGTTACCATGTTGCCTCCTCGACTTGTTGCCTTTGTGTTGTAGCGTGACAACATGGATTTATTTGTTTCACTGGAGTTTTGTCTTTCTCAAGTAAAAGTCTATTTGGAAAAACATTTTGTAGGCTTTGTGTTGTGTTTTGTAAAAACCCCAGAAAAATAAATTTTATCCACTAGAGTATTTCCTCTGACGACTGTATGGGGTGCCATTTGTAAAGTTACACAGTCAAAAATTAACAGCAATATCTTCTTGGTTTATTTAGCCTTTCATAAGAAAAAAAAAAAAAAAGGTTTCTTTTTTTCAAAGTCATATATTCACCATGTTATTCATACATTTATAAATGTCATAGTTCCAAACTAAATATTTAATTTACAAACTAAATACTTTACTTGCAATATTTAGTTTACAAACTAAATGTTAATGTTCAAGATAAATGTTTACTTTACAAAGAAATATTTAGGTGTAAATTAAATATTTAATTTCCAAGCTAAATATTTATTTTCAAAACTAAACATTTAATTTCCAAAATAAATATTTAATTTCCCAACTAAACTTTAATTTTTTTTAAGCTATGCATTTAATTCCTAAACTAAATATTTAATTTTCTAACTAAATATTTAGATCGGACATAAATATTTAACTTGCTAGCTAAATATTTAACTGTTAAATATTTTGTTTGTAAATTAAACATTTAGCTTGGACATATTTAGTGTGGAGCTAAATATTTAGCGTGCTAACTAAATATTTAACTTGCAAGTTAAGTGTTTAGTTTGTAAACTAAATATCCATCCATTATCTTTACCCGCTTCTTCCATTTTTGGGTCACGGGGGTCACCGGTGTCCATGTCCAGCAATCACTGTGCGAGGGGCGGGGTACACCCTGGACGGGTCGCAAGTCCATCACAGGGACACATAGAGACTAACGAGACAAACAACCATTCACTCTCTCAGATGGGTTGTCTGTTTACGTTCGGCGCCATTGTTTGTGACCGCATGGTGGAGATACAATGGCCCAGGGCTGGTGATCTTGTACTTTACATGTAAAATAAACCTTCTGAAATGGAAGACAATTGCTCCTCCTCTCCCTGCTTCAGATCAGAACACACATTCTTACAGGAAGGGTTCATTTAGTCTTTGGTCCTCGTGATGGGAATTGGCAAAAGGCACCTTAAAGTAAATCCCTTTAACTGATGGCTCATAAATGTGAATAAGTTCATATCATTAAACTTGTCATGAGCTCAGTCATATCATCTGCAGAGTATCCATAGTGAAGGCAGCGTCACACTGTGAAGGGATTTCTACAGTTTAGCAAATCATGTGAAACCAAAAATAAATAATAGATGACTAGCTAAAAATACTGCTGTGTCAGCAGATGGTTGCTGCCCTGGTCCCTTCTTTCAGTGTGGTGCCATTAGAGATTTGGGTCCACAAGTCCCGGAAAGAGGTAAAAGTGTTTAGTCAGCGTGGACCTGTCTATGGTTGGCATCTGCAGCCGGCTCCCGAAGGTGACACCTTCAAAACGTTGCATGACCTGTGTGGTTGAAACATCATCACTGATGTTATTTTCCACTGTGGACATTTCATACGTTTAGAAAATTTGTGTAAAACTTACTTTTCGGAAAAGCTCCTGAATGTGTTCCCGATGCGCGTCAGCTTTGAAGATTTCATTAATGTACTGAATGAGGAGAGAGCCATGATTTGGTTGTCTGTAGGACACCGTATCTGCAGGAAAATGTGCAGAGACGAAAACACTTCTCAAATTATACTGCAGACTGTAGATGACTTTTAGAAGAAAACTGTACAGTCATCAGTTATTTTGATTTTTCTTCCAAGAAACTTTAATGTAATGTTTTAAAGTGGGCTTGATGCCACAGAGCAGCGAGTGAAAGGATTTCAAATGCAGACTGAGACACGAGGAGAACGTCAGTGAAGAAAAACTCAGGATTTATTAAAAATAAGTAAATCGGACAGGGCAACAAAAGGTCAAATAACTACAAGCCAAAAATGAGTGTGCAGGTGAGGCTGATGAACAAATGAGGGACAGGTGAGTAACGAGGAGCGGAGAGAAGGAAAATAACAAAACACAATGAATCACTGAATTTAAAAAAATGTATATGTTGAAAAAAAAAATGGAAAAAACAAACAAAATCGGATGTTGAATTTAACCTTTGAATTGTTCAGCCATTAAAAGGCTCCTAAACTGCAGGAATGAACCAGTGTCACGTTAACAAATGACAACTTAAATCATAAATCCCATCCTAAATGGGAGCTTTAAGGTTCCAGTCGTTCCAAACCCTGGTCCTTGAGGAACACCATCCTGCATGTTTTAGTTGTTTCCCTGCTCCAACACACCTCATTCAGTGATTTAATTACTTCCTCATGTTCTGCAGAAGCCTGTTAATCACCCATTAATTAAAATCAGGTGTGCCGGTGCAAAGAAACAACTAAAACGTGCAGGATGGTGTTCCTCAAGGACCAGGGTTTGGAACCTCTGCTTTAAACAATTTAGTATTGTCAACAAATAATATTTTATAAACAAATAATATAATTTCCCCAGCCTGAAGCTGGGGAAAGTACCACAACTGTGGAAGACCTCCTGTGTGGTACCGGTACCAAAAACCAAACATCCCAAGGACCTCAGTAACTACAGGCCGGTGGCTCTGACCTCACATTTGATGAAGACCCTCGAGAGGCTGGTCCTCAACAATTTGCGCCACCTGGTGAGGTCTTTGTTAGATCCATTGCAGTTTGCCTACCGGCCTGGCATCGGGGTGGATGACGCCATCATCTACCTCAGGCACCAAGCTCTGACCCACCTGGAGAAACCTGGAAGCACCGTGAGGATCATGTTCTTTGATTTCTCCAGTGCTTTCAACACCATCCAGCCAGGACTTCTGCGGGACAAGCTGGAGTTATCAGGAGTGGATCACCACATGTCTCAGTGAATACTGGATTACCTCACTGGACGCTCACAGTATGTGAGGACACAGGGCTGTGTCTCTGACATGCTGGTCTGCAGTACGAGGTCCCACAGGGAACTGTGCTGGCACCGTTCCTCTTCACCCTCTACACTGCAGACTTCACCATCGACTCCCCACACTGCCATCTGAAAAAGTTTTCTGATGACTCTGCCATAGTCGGCCTCATCACAGGTGAGGACGACTCAAAGTACAGACAGCGGACTCAAGACTTTGTGGACTGGTGCCAGCAGAACCACCTGCTCACCTCACACTACTAAAACTAAGGAGCTGGTTGTGGATTTCCGCAGGCACAGGTCCACCTCACTGACCCCGGTAAACATCCAGGGTGTGAACATCGAGATTGTGGACTCTTACAAGTACCTGAGTGTTCACCTGAACAGTAAACTGGACTGGTCTCTCAACACTGATGCACTTTACAGGAAGGGTCAGAGCAGACTCTACCTACTGAGGAGACTGAGGTCTTTTGGAGTGCAGGGGGTGCTCCTGAAGACCTTCTTTGACTCGGTAGTGGCATCAGCCATCTTCTATGGTGTTGTGTGTTGGAGCAGCAGCTTATCATCAGCTGAGAAGAAGAAGCTAGATAAGCTCATCAAGAAGGCCAGCTCTGTGCTTGGACGCCCCCTCGACCCAGTGCAGGTGGTGGGAGACAGAAGAACTCTAGCTAAAATAACATCATTGCTGGACAACGTCTCCCACCCCATGCATGAAGCTGTTGCTGAACTGGAGAGCTCGTTCAGTGACAGATTACTGCATCCTAAATGCACAAAGGAGCGTTACCGCAGGCCCTTCCTCCCAGCAGCTGTTAGACTCTACAACCATCACTGCTCCCAACAAACTCAATAAGGATTAAATACATGCTGACCTCTGCTAAAACACACACTCTGCCTGTAATACTGTACTGTCAATAATCTGCCATTCTCAATGTTCCAATACATATTGAACATTATTATTGATATTGTTTATCTTATTTCTTATATATTGTATTGTTTATTAACATTTAGGAACTTTTGTGTGAAATCTTTTTATCTGTTGCTGCTGTTACACTTGAATTTCCCATCCGTGGGACAATAAAGGCTGTTTCTATTCTATTCTATTCTATTCTATTCTATTCTAAAGACCGTTTGTTCCCACTGAATCATGCTGAATCTATTAAAAAAAAAAACCATGTGCTTTTTCACAGTGATTATTCTGGTTAGAGATTCATGAGTCTAACAGCCTTAGGGTAGAAGCTGTTCCTCAGTCTAGTGGTTCTACACTTAATGCTCCTCAACCTCCTTCCTGAGGGGAGCGGGGCAAAAAGTGTGTGTGCTGGGTGAGTGGGGTCCTTCGTGAAGCAGGTAACCTTCTTCCTGCATCTGGAGGTGTAGATGTCTGTGATGGTGAGAAGACTGACTCCAACAGTCTTCTGTGCAGCCTTCACCACTCTCTGCAAAGCTTTTCTTTCTGCAGCTGTGCAGCTTCCATTCCACACGATGTTGAAGCACAGGATGCTCTCCACTGCACACCTGTAGAAGAAGGTGAGGACTGAGCTTCCCAGACCAGCTCGTCTCAGCCGCCTGAGGAAGTAGAGTCTCTGATGAGCTTTCTTGATCAGGCTGGTGGTGTTGTTGCTCCAGCTGAGGTTGTCATTCAGGTGCACATCCAAGTACTTGTAGCTGGAAACCACTTCCACCGCAGATCCTCTTATGTTCAGGGGGTGTAGGTGTGTTTGTTCCTTCTGAAGTCCACAATCATCTCTTTTGTCTTCTTCACAATGATGTGAAGGTTATTCTCTCTGCACCAGCTCTCCAGGTGTTCCACCTCCTGCCTGTAGCTGGACTCGTCATTGTTTGAGATGCATCCCACCACCGCTGTATCATCTGCAAACTTTACAATGTGACAGCCTGGATGGGTAGCTGCACAATCATACGTGAGCAGAGTGAACAGGAGGGGGCTCAACACACATCCTTGAGGAGAGCCAGTGCTGAGGGTTAGGGTGGAGGAGGAGAAGTTGTACATTCTCACTGACTGTGGTCTGTTTGTTAAGAAGTCTAGTACCCAGTTGCAAATGGAGGGGCTTAGTCCTAGTGTGAATAGTTTGTCCATCAGGGTTTGAGGGATCATGATGTTGAAAGCAGATGTGAAGTCCACAAAGAGTATACGGACGTAAGAGTCCTTCTGCTCCAGGTGGGTGAGAGCAGTGTGGACCACAGAGGAGACGTCCTCTGTTGATCAGTTCTCACGGTATGTGTACTGATGAGGGTCCTTGTTGATGATGATCATAAGTTCTTCGAGATTTCTGAAGTTCTACTTTAAAAGATTACAATAAAACCTGCTTCCTTTGAAGTGAAATATAAGGAAGTGATCAATGGTTTAAAATGATGTCTCAGTGCTCTATGACAGAATAGGTTTTACCAAAGTTGTGACAGAGCTGAAGATGTTGAGGTTCTCCTTAGGAGTGACAAGGATGGATAAGATTAGGAATGAGATCATCAGACGTACAGCACAGGTTGAACAACTGGGAGATAAAGTTAGAGAGGGCAGACTGAGATAGTTTGGACATGTCCAGAGGAGGGACAGTGGGTATACTGGTAGAAGGATGTTAGAAATGCAGCTGCCGAGACAAAGACAAGGAGGAGATTTATGGATGCAGTTAGAGAGGACATGGAGGTTGTTGGAGTGAGGACAGAGTGAGATGGAGGAGGACGACTCGCTGTGGCGACCCCTGAAGAGGAAACAGAAGGAAGAAGTAGTATTTGGACTTACCAGGAGTGCAGGAGAGAAGAGAAATGAAGTCTTTTTCTTTGTGTACCCACTGAACATTGTCTTCCTCAAAGTCTTCATCTCTGGGTCGTGGAGCGTCATCAACTTGGTTTGGACCATCGCTGAGAAAAACAGATCCTGTCTTATCTGAAGCAAACGATGTGAGATACAATCATAAGGTAAGAGAGAACACCTAAAGCTCCTCAATGAATCCGTGGTGAGTGGCAGAGTATTTGTGTCCATCACCTCCTCTGCAGGCCTGGATGACGATGATCTTGGGTTTGTTTATCAGCCCCGGACATTTCTTTGGACCCAGGATTGTGAAAATGTTGTTGATGGGAAACTCATCTGGGTCCTTATCACCTTGTTTCCAGTCAACCCCCAAAACTGCTCCAAGCTTTCCATGAGACATGATGACCACAAACACGCTGTCAGCCTCTTTTAGTTTGGAATGTTCAGCAAACTTAAATAAAGCTTCCTCGATCGCCTGAAAGAAGGCAGAGAGTCCGCTCATCAGATCAGTTACTTCCATAACAACCAGAACATCTTCCTTCTTTTGAATAAAGTACCTTTCCTGTGAGGTTTCTATATTTCACCACCTCATATCCTAAACTTTGAAACAGTCTCTCCATGTTCTCCTCGTCCTTCTCGGCTCCATACCTTTGTGTCTCGTGAGAAAACTTGATGTTCGTGATCAGCAGTGCGACACGATTCTTATAGGACACTTTCGCCACCGGGTAAACCTGGGAAACAAATTAGAAAAAGGCAACTTAAGATTCAAATGATAGCTAAGTGAGAAAGCAACACTGAATCCAGTTGAACTAGCGTGTATGAAAAGGTATTTGTTGCATCATTAAATGCACTGAAAGTTAATTTAATCAGTGGGGGTTTTTTCTGGGTAAAGATATGTTTGTAAGTTACCGATAAATGAAATACTGACGTTTGAGTCATTCTGTTTGGTTTTCCAGAACTCTTCGATTGTGCATTCAAGTGTAGCGGACCCACTTTGAGCCATCTGGGGTGATGCAGCTACAAATAAGAGCCCACATTATTATAGAAGTACCCTGATGCATGCTCAATAATCCATGTAAATAAGTCTAACAAGGTGGAGTCAGGTCCTCTGGATGAATTCTTCTTTGATGAAACATTTTGGCTTTTATCCAAAAGACTTCAGTCTGAGGAACTGCAAATAAATACAGTAACTACCACCTTCGCTTGGTAGATCAACCAGTGTGCTGGTGACAAGCCAAGCTAGTTGTTCACATGCAAAAGAAGGAACATCTGCCTAACGACCAATCATTAGTGCCCCGATGGCCCCTTGCAGACAAACGTAAATTAATACTGTGTATGCTGTTCAGTGCCAGAAGGACTGTGATCAGTTTCTTCATGGAAACAAGGATGATCCAGCACAAAAGAGCAACATCATCAGGACAGGACTCTGTGGTCTACACTTTCAGGGATGAAGATGTTCACATATTCAGTAGAGAGGAACGCTGGTTTGAGAGAGGAGTGAAGGAGGCCATCTTTTTGAAGAGAACTTGTCCATCGTTAAACATGGGCACAGACCTCTGTGTTCCACTGTCCCACTCTTACAATGATGTTATTGCTAGTATCACTCAGCCCTCTGTGAATAGCAAGCGGCCAGCAGGGCACTAATGATCTAATGGTAGGCTTATGGTCCTCCTTTTGCATATGAACAGCTAGTTTTGGCTGTCAGCAGCAAACTGGTTGATCCATAATGAGAAGGTGCTGCTTATAAGACTGAGTGTGTTGCAGCTCATCAGACTGAAGAAGTCTTTTGGATAAAAGATGAAACGTTTCAACAAAGAAGAATGAAGTTTTGTAAGCTCAATCATCCAAGTAGATAACAACAAAAATGGTTAAATTATGCCATCTGGACCTGTTTCTTTAACAAAGAAGAATCCATCCAGAGGAACTGACTCAACCTTGTTTGATTTATAAGAAGTACTTTCATTTTACTTGTTCATAGCACTGTTTTATATCCATTCCTAAATCTTTTCTTGTACCTGGCTGAGCAGACTGAGCAGAGGACAAACCCAGTTCTTTGTGAAGCGTTGAGTCCTTTTGTTCCAGGCGACCGACCATCTTCCTGCTGGCTTCCTTTCCTTTTCTCAACACTGTGTCGAAGAGATTGCGGGCCTTGTCGGCTCTGTTGACGTTCTCTTGAAGAATTGAATCTTTCTCTCCATGATTCAAGACGCCATCTTCCAAAAGGCAGTCCAGGAGCTGGTTAATAATTTCTTTGGACACTTTATCCACAAACAAATGTCTCACTTCGGAAAGCTCCTTATCTGGAATTGTAAAGATACAGACAAACTATTTCATCTTACAGTTATTTGAATAAAATTGCATAAAATTTAATCGAGTCATGTGAAAACCATTTATCCCATCTCAAGTTGCCAAATTATAAAAGGTAGCTGCAATTTGGTCAAATTGGTGATCTGCAGGAAATAAATCTGTAAAGTCAGCCATTTTAACAGACCACCTGGATTCTTGTTCGATACGGCCTCTGAGGTTCAGCCTTCGTTACACAATTCAGTTTATTTATACAGCGCCAAGTCACAACAGAAGTCACCTCAGGGCACTGAACAGAAACATTCAAATACAAAAAAAGTAAGTTAATAACATTTATTTATCTGAGGAGCAGACTGCTTTGAGTTTAACTTCATCGCAGACTCATCTTGAGCAAGCATGAAGGCGACAGTGGAAAGGAAAAACTCTCTCATAAGGAAGCAACCTCCAGCAGAACCAGGCTCAGGACAAGCGGACATCTGCTTCAACCAGCTGGGTTTGATAGGACAGGAAGGAGGAACACTAACCAATAAGCAGTCACACATTCTCCAAAATAGTGAAGTTCAAGGCTTTAAAGGGCCTTGATTTTAAAACATTATAAAATCTAAAAACCAGTACTTCATAAGTCTGGCAGCTGACATCATAGCAGAATCAGTGTCTCACATTTTTTATCTTTTGCTACTAACTGATGTCACTCCAGAAATGTGGAAGGCAGCATTTGTTCTTCCCAGTATTTACCTAAAGTCCTTGAATCTTGAAGATTACTCGATCTTATCAAACATTTTATCTGTCTGATTTTAGAAAAATATACAACGCTCTAACCAAGGGCGTCAGAAGCATCCGTAATGATGTGTGTAGGTGTGTGTGTGCGCACGCACATGCACGCGTAAAAAAAGGTGTTCACTAGTGTAAAAAAAGCAGCATTTCACCTAGATTTCCTTTAATTCCACACATTTAAAACATGTTTCTCACCAAGTTTGTGTAAATTCATCTGTAGGTTTTAAAGACATTTTAACTTTAATACACTTCAATACAGAGCGTCAGATCGGCACTATTTGTCTTTGTAGAGAAATTAAAAACATCACCACTGGACTTTTTTACCCGTGTTCAACATTACTCATCTAAATTATGCTTCTCGTGGAGCTTGAGGACAATAAGCTGTGGGGTTTAAAGACATTTCAACTTTAATGCACCTGAACACACAGCGTCTCTTCCACCTGCAGCGTCTTACAGCCTCACAGTTACTGCTAAGCTAACATGCTACAGACGTAGCGCTCCTCTCAAGCATCCTCCCAACATGTATATATGTTTATGATCAACCCCCCTGGTCAACAACTGCCCACACTAAGCTGCTAAACTGGCGAGCGAGTAACACAGAGGTGTCTCCATCTCCTCCACCTGTGCGCGTTTTATGCCGAGACAGGAGGAGACGCATAGAAACACTGCAGGTGTTACACAATATTCTGTGACCCCCGTATATTGTGACCGTGGCAACAGGCTGCTGTGTTTGGAGTTGGAGGTAACCAGGAAAACCTGTGGAGTTTTAGTGGTTTGAGTATTCTCCCATTAATCAAGTGGAATGGATTCGTTCACGAAAAAAGAGAAACTGCGCCGCCTGAACTAATGTTTCATAGTAAAAGTGTGTGTGTGTGTGGAGAGGGGGGGTGTCCAAATGAACGTTTTTTTAATGTGGGGGGGACTTGTCCCCTTCACATATAATGGTTGCAACGCCTATGGCTCTAACAACCACCACTAATATGTTCAGTGATATTGTAGAAGCCCTGGATACCACAGGTTACTGTGCCGCCCTGTTCCTTGTCTTGTCCAGAGCTTTTGACAATGTACATCATTCCATTTGCCGCCCAAAGCTTTTGGAGAGCTGTCTTTCACGGCAAACAGATGGTTGTCAGCAACGTGCACGACACAGTAGTCTGTCATCAGATTATCTGAAAATCATGAAAGGTGTCCCACAAGGCTTCATTTTTGAACCTATGCTGCTTTCAATCTATTTTAATGGTATGCGTCAAAATGTTACTGATGTCAGTATGCATTTATATGTTGATGACACTGTCTCAGTTCTGACAACAAAAGGTCATGATGTTTTGAAACAAAAAAGTGCCACTTGTTAGGTCTATAAACGGGATAGCTACAAAAGATGTAGAAACTTGTGAAAACCTCAGCATTGTCACTGATAAAAAGTGTTCCTTCAAGTTTTATACAAACCAGAAAAAAAAAAAACTGAAGATAAAACTGATTGCTTTTTATAAATATGTCATGCTTCCCTCTTTAAACATCTTGTCTGCAACCTTCCATCCACTGCTAGGCTATGATGGTGTTTATATGAATGCGCTGTTCAGATCTCTGCACATGCTGGATGTTGCTCATCAAGGAGCTCTGTGATTTTCAACAAACTGTAAACCTCTCACTCACCACTGTACTCTATACTTATTGATAAACTGGCTATCACTCTCTACCTGCAGACTTTTACACTGGTTTACCTTCATTTACAAATCCATCCTAGGCTTGCTGCCTCCTTGTCTATGTTCTAATAAATTACAAAGACAGTACACGCACAGCCTACTACGCTCCAAAGATTTTATTTTTTACTTTAAATTAAACCGTCTCAATGAGACTACCTGTCAAAACGAAAGTTTTAATAAAATTGTGGCTTTTAAGCTTCTGTAATGCTATAAAAACAATTGAAGACTTATCCCAAAGACCTGAGAATGCTGATGCTCTCATTCCTTTAACAAGTGCGGAAAATAAACCAAGTTATAGTTTACAATGACTCCCTGGTCAGTAAACCTGCAAGTTGACAGAAAACAAATGAGTTAATGAGCTGAATCTAACCTTTGTGAGGTTAACCTCATATTTATGTTACACAGTTCCACACTGAGTAATAACAGATGTCATTTCTTACATTTTCATCCTTTCAACACTTGTAAATATACAAGTCACAAGAGTGAAAGTGAAACTATAAAACGTGGCATGCAAATGTAAAAGTAAAACTTTTAGGAGCTTATTTGAACTTTGTCAAGGTCTCAGCGGTGAACCTCTTTCTGAATTTAACCAACCTCTTGTCTGATCTGTGTCTGAACACAGAACAGTTGGAATAAACGGGACAGTTAAGCCATTTATTTGAACTGGCTGAACGCCTGCGCGCGCAAATCTTGTCCCAAATCTAAACCCTATCAGTCAAACCTGCAAACAGATTCAATTCTCTTACCTGCCATTGTTCAATCTTGTGCCTTAGAACAGTTCAGAATGAATTATTCTGCTAAAGCCTGTGAAGTTAGTAAGTAAGTAAAGTTAGACCGCGGTTAAAAACCAGGGCAGGCTGTGCGTAATGCGTAAAAATGGGCGCAAACTTCCCAAACTGCGTCCCCGCCTTACAATCAAGGAGGAGTTAAACCTCAGGACAGTTCGTTCAGCTTTAATCCATTCCTGGAACTGAAGCCATGGCAGGTAAGGAGGAGATCTGGGTTGAAGGAAACCCCGAACTTAATTTGTGCTCATCATGGTGGTCAAACTGTGAGAGGTGCGGCTTGTCACTTTTACAGGCGATGAAATCATTACAGTGATCATGTATTGGCACATAAATCGTGAGTTCACAAGAATATTTCCGCCATCTCGTCCCAGTCAGCAGCAGCTTCTTTTTCTCTTAAATTGGTTTCACTTTTGGTTTCTTCTGTTCCTCACGTTGCAGCTGGTAAGAAGCGGTTTCAGCTGACTTCGATGCAACCAAAACCCCTTTAAATGGAGGTTTTGGTGCACAGGGGAAACGATCTGATCTCTAATTGGTTTTATTTGTTGAAAGTCTCTGGCTGGAGAGAATATATTTCAGTTTCAGACCACACAGGTCCAAAAATACCTGCAGAATGAAATCCTCTGAAGAAGATAAGTTTAATATATTTCTGTTAAACATAGCTAATGGTTGAGTTGGAATTGAGAAAAAGTACATATAAACTTTTTTAATGGTTTTGATCTTAAAACTGTAACTTTGTGTTTACTTGAAAAGTTTCAAGTGTGAACTTAAATTAGTTGTCCACTTCCTGTTAGACTGAACTGTATGAACCTGTGTCAGGTGATGTTTTCTAGTCCTTTATCTTTCATTGAGTCATCTGAGTTTTTATGTTCATTCTTCCAGAAGCAACACTTTCTAAGATCAGGTTGGGGTTTGTGGACAGGTCATCCAAGGAGCTGATAAATCAACTCCTGGACGACCTTTATGCGGACGGCATCTTAAACGAAGGAGAGAAAGACGCGATTATTGAGGAGAACAAGAGCCGAATGGACAAGGCCCGCAGTCTCATCGACTCGGTGAATAGGAAAGGAAACGCAGCCAGCAGGAAGATGATCGAACACCTTCAGAGGAGAGATGCTACACTTTCCACTGAGCTGGGTTTATAACCAGGTGAGGTGCTCCTGTACAGATACAGCACCTTGAACTTTCCCACATTTTGTCTTGTTGCAACCACAAACTATGCATGATTTTACTGGGATTCTATGTGACAAACCAACATGAAGTAAAGCATAAATGTGAAGTGAAAGGAAAATGGCTGGAGAAGTATTTTGGAAAAAAATGAAACATTTCAACAAAGAAGAATCTGTTCAGAGGACCTGCCTCAACCTTGTTAGATTCATCTACCTGGATTACTGAGCATGCATCAGAAGGAAAAAGGTTCATAGTTTCTAAAAGTCTTTACCAAAACAAACTGATTTGTTTTGAGCCCCCTTTACTCTGATACCCCAGAGTAAAGGGATTACTCTGTGAAGGCCTCAGAGGAACATTAGTGACCACAGCATCATGAAGATCAAGGCACACACCAGATAGGTCAGGGAAAGTCTGGAACACAGTTGTTGAGAAACTTGCAACAGAGTAAGGTTATATAACAAGCTCTGAGCATCTCCCAGAGCTTTATTCAGTCCAATAAATAAAGTGTGGCACAACTGCAAACCTATCAAGATGTGGCCGCCTACCTAAACTGGCAGACCGGGCAAGGAGAGTACAGTAGTCCCTCGCTACTTCACGATTTGACATTCGCGGACTCGCTCTTTCGCGGCTTTTCAAAGTAAGATTGGACATGACACACAACTGGCTGATTGTTGGATGAGCCGCACGATCGGCATGGAATTTTAATTTGAAATGAATTTATTTGAAATGATTTAGCACCTGCTGCACCTGTGTGCAGCCCACATGTGCAGGGAGAAGCTCCCTCCTGCAGCCTGACATGATCTCCGCTCTGCAGCAGAGAAGTGGGCGTGGCTGAGAGCGCTGGCAGGTGGCAGATAGTGTAGATCAGGGGTGTCACTCACTTACAAAAGGGGGCCAAAATTAAAACCTTTTTCAAACTAAGGGCCAGTTTCAGAATTACATTAACTCAGATCAGATCCTCAACCTCTTTTCTTGAACACAAATTCCTTAACAAGAGTTTGATTGGTCTCATTTAATGGTCTCTGTTGTGCTTTCAACATCATAATCAAAGGTTACTGAAAAAATTCAAGAGATAGAAGTATTTTGCATTTCACATATCATTTTGGGGGCCAGATAAGATGTCAACGAGGGCCACATTTGGCCCCTGGGCCTTGAGTTTGACACATGGTATAGATCATGACATTATGCGCTCTTTTAGAGCATTTCAAGTATAGAAACATTGTTTAGAATATTGCAAGAGTGTGGGAAGGGTTTAAAATCCCTATATATACATATATATATATATATATATATAATTATACACACAATACTTTAAGCTACTACTTGTACTACTATTCTTACTTTGCGGTTTTTCAGTAGAGGAGCTGAAAATGGAACCCGATAAACGACAGACTACTGTATTGATCTGTATAGTATATGTATCGATTAAGAAGCAGCTGAGAAGGCTGTGGTAACTCTGGAGGAGCTGCAGGGTCCACAGCTCAAGAGGGAGAGTCTGTCCACAGGACAAATATTAAGCATACGTCCCATAATTCCGATCTTTATAGAGTGGAGAGAAGAGAACAATTGTTGAAAGAATGTCAGAAGAAGTCTGCAATCTGACACAAGTCATGTAAACAGTAAACATGTGGAAGATCGGATCAGACCAAGATTCAGAAAGTTACGTGTGGATGAAAACTAACTCACCCTGAACACATCATCCCCACGGAGAAACATGGTGGTGGCAGCAGCATGCTGTGGGGCAGGGGTTTGCAACCTTTACGATCAAAGGAGCCATTTCTGCCCTTTCGTTCTTTAAACTAAATGTGTCCAGAGCCGCAAAACCTGCTACAGTTGTCATTTTCTACTGGTAGCCCGTGGGCCACTTTAAGTTTGTTAGAGGAGGCTAAAAAACAAACAAACCCAAAGCAATTCTAATAAAGTTTTATTTATATATCAAGTGGAGCATTAAGGCCAGCCATAATGATCTGCTTGTGAAAATAAATCTGTTGGGCCTCACCGTGACACTCAGACAATAATTCTGAGTGCCACAATGCCGGACAGGACAAGGGAAAAGGAGAAAGAAGGGGAAAAAAATCCATTGATTGTAATCATTTATTGATATTTTTACATTTTGAGACTTAATAAGACTGGATTCCACCCATCCATTCATTTATTCATCCATCCATCCATTCATTCATTATCTTTACTCAATTCTTCCTTTTCGGGTTGCAGGGGGTCAGTGGTGCCCATATCCAGGTCACAAGTCTATCACAGAAAACTGGATTCTTGTAAAGAAAAAAAATAGATATTATTTTGACAATTTTTTTAAAAACTAAAACGATGAACTGTGCAGGCTTGTGCTTTTTTTGTTGTTTTTTTTGTTTTGTTTTTTTTCTGGAGAAATTGACTTTGGAGAAATAAAGCATAAAGTTAAAGGGAGTATAATTTACTCTGTGTATTAGTACTAGGATCCACATATTTGCAAAGGAAATGACAGGAAAACAGGTAAAGCTAGTCATTTTTTGTTGTGGGTATAACATCCTATAACATTCAGAACTCAAAGCTTGAAAGAGTTGCTGCGGAGGGACCAAAGAGCCGCAGGTTGCAGACCCCTGCTGTGGGGCATGCTGACCAGGAAGACGGCCTCTGTTGGTATGAACGTGGATGAAGCTGAACCGTCTCAGAAGAAAACCTCTTAGAGGCTGTGAAAGACAAGACTGGAGCAGAGATTCACCATCCAGCACCTTTAGCTATTTTTAAACTTAGATGACCTGTTGTGACTTGGCGCTATATAAAAAAACTGAACTGAATTGAATTAAACATTTCACTGAGGTGCAAATGAGCAGATCTTATTCATGCAAACAGTCAATATTTACAGCATTGACTATTCTTCATGCCTGCCGTGTTTCAGCCCACGTGATGGATTTATCAACTTGCTGGAGAAAATTATTCTCGCTTTAAATTACTTACTCACAAAGAACTGCACTCGATGGCAGGAGAAGATTTTTAACCAGTATTTACTTACAGCAAGGTCAGATTTTCAGGACAGGTTACATAAATATACATTAAATGTACACACATGAAGATCAGTCACTAGAATCTGCCTTGAGCCTCCTTCTCAGCTTGCTTTTATAACCTTATCAGTTCAGCCTCGTTCACAGAACTTGAAGGTGTCCTTGTCTGCCAGCTGCACACTTCAGCCTCATTCAAGCTCCTCATCCAGCTCTCTCTGCTAATCCAAACATATGGTTCATGGGCAGAGTTATGATTCTCAGCCATAGTAATAAAAACATCAATAACCTTTGACCAAAAAATCCCCTAACACAACTTGTGGGTCCAATCCTGTCAGATAATGATCCACGTTTGTCTTATCATTGTTTCATGTTGATCACAGTTTGTTGGCCTCATCCTCTTCACAGATTATCAGCTGTAATAAAGGTGAAATTCAGATATTTTGAAGTAGGGTTCTGTGGGAATGTTATAAACAGTTAGTATCTTACCTGTTTTAGATAGCTTTTTTGGATGGCCTCTGTTTGGAGAAATTTAGTTGAAACCTGTCCAGAGTGGTGAGCGATCAGGTCAAACTAACTTATTTTCTTAACAATCACAGGATGAAGCATTTAAAATCCACTCTTAAAAAGTTTGAAAAGGTTTACAGAGATTTAACAGTGTCTCACCTATGTGACTTGAGTGTTTTTAGGCATTGCTGAAGCACTATGGCTTAGAGAAACAAGCTGTGGGAATCTGAGAAGGTGCATTTAATAGAATATGAACCACCAGTGTGCGGAAATAACTCATCTGCTGTGTCCTGCTGTTTCCAGCCTCAGCGATCCTGGAGGAACTGATGTGTTTTCACTCTCACCCTGACTGCAGACGACCTGTGGACAGAAGGGGACCGACATTACCAAGCATCAAAAACAATTTGTGTATTCGTGTTTGAAATATCATAATTTTATGAGAAATAAGTATTTTGCGTCCATCTCATCGGGGGCAGTTCCCCTGGATTGGCAGACTGGGGTGGTGGTCCCCCTATTCAAAAAGGGGGACCGTAGAGTGTGTTCCAACTACAGGGGGATCACGCTCTTGAGCCTCCCTGGTAAGGTCTATTCAGGGGTTCTGGGGAGGAGGGTCCGTCGGATAGTCGAACCTCTGATTCAGGAGGAGCAGTGCGGTTTTCATCCTGGTCGTGGAACACTGGACCAGCTCTACACCCTCAGCAGGGTCCTGGAGGGTGCGTGGGAGTTTGCCCAACCAGTCTACATGTGCTTTGTGGACTTGGAGAAGGCGTTCGACCACATCCCTCGGGGAGCCCTGTGGGGGGTACTCTGGGAGTATGGGGTACCGGGCCTTTTGATAAGGGCTGTTAGGTCCCTGTACGACCGGTGTCAGAGCCTGGTCCGCATTGACGGCAGTAAGTCGGGCTTATTCCCTGTGAGAGTTGGACTCCGCCAAGATTGCCCTTTGTCACCAATTCTGTTCATAACTTTTATGGACAGAATTTCTAGGCACAGCCAAGGTGTTGAGGGGATCCGTTTGGTGGCCTTAGGATCTCTTTTCTGTTTTTTGCAGATGATGTGGTCCTATTGGCTTCATCAGATCGTGATCTACAGCTTTCGCTGGAGCGGTTCGCAGCCGAGTGCGACGCGGCCAGGATGAGGATCAGTTCCTCCAAATCCGAGGCCATGGTCTTGAGCCGGAAAAGGGTAGATTGCCTTGACCAGGTCTAGGAGGAGGTCCTGCCCCAGGTGGTGGAGTTCAAGTATTTCGGGGTCTTGTTCACGAATGAGGGAAAAATTGGAGCGTGAGATCGATAGGCGGATAGGTGGGTGCAGCGTCTGCAGTGAAGCGGGCGCTGTACAGGTCTGTCGTGGTGAAGAGAGAGCTGAGTCAAAAGGCGAAACTCTCAATTTACCGGTCGATCTACGTTCCTACCCTCATCTATGGTCATGAGCTTTGGGTTTTGACCGAAAGACCGAGATCACGGATACAAGTGGCCGAAATGAGTTTTCTCCGCAGGGTGTCTGGGCTTTCCTTTAGAGATAGGGTGAGAAGCTCGATCATCCGGGAGAGACTCAGAGTTGAGCCGCTGCTTCTCCACATCGAGAGGAGCCAGTTGAGGTGGCTCGGGCATCTAGTTAGGATGCCTCCTGGACGCCTTCCTGGTGAGGTGTTCCGGACACGTCCCACCGGGAGGAGACCCAGAGGAAGACCCAAAACACGCTGAAGGGACTATGTTTCTCGGCTGGCCTGGGAACGCCTCGGGATTCCCCCGGAGGAGCTGGACCAAGTGTCTGGGGAGAGGGAAGTCTGGGCCTCCCTACTTAGGCTGCTACCCCCGTGACCTGACCCCGTATAAGCGGAGGAGAATGGATAGATGGATGGACAATATTGTACTCAGAACATGATCTGCGAAGTTCATGGGAAAAACCGATGCAGACATGTTCTTGTTTTTTGTTTTCTACATCGCCTTACAGCCTGTTTTTTTGTTAAATTTTTAAATACCATTTTATTTTCACTTGTTGTTCTCAGTTTGTACGCATCTTTTATGATTGTCTATTGTTGTCTTTATTGTCCACTGTTGTCATCATTCTTTGTTAAAACCAGGTCTGTCTTGTAAATGAATCCCCAAGGCTCAATGGGATTAACCTGTATAAATAAAGGTTGAATGAATGTGACATAAATGCACATTTTTTACTGTTTAGACATGAATAAAAGACAAAGTAATGTGTTTCTTGGCAAAAAAAAACATCTTGTATTTTTTGTAAAGACTTTATTGTAACATACGATTGATGTGTCTTCCTTAAACCTGATTATTTAGTCTTGTTTATTTTGAAATCATATTAAATATATTGATCATCAATAAACTTGTCACGGGGATTGGTGGCAAAGGAGCTAAAGGCGAGCCAGTTATAGAATGGTTGCCGGATCAAATCCTCGATTAAAAAATTTGGGTGGGAAAGATGAAGCACACATCTGCTTCCACCCTCATTTGCCCCACTCGGGGTTCATTAACCCCCTTTGAGCTTCCCTAGATTTGTGCTCCACACGTGGGCTGCAGTAGCTCAATGGATGCATCACAAAGGGCGTCCCGCATTAAACAATCGCCAAATCTTCACTAACAACTCCAGAGAAAGGTAGCAGCCGAAAGAAGAAAAAAAAAAAGATCAACTTTTAACATGATGACATTTTTATCAAACGTGTACCAAAAAATTTACAGATTTACTTTTGCTTTAGGAAAAATGAAAATACTTAACTAAAAGTGTTTCCAGGTTGCACTAATTAAATATATTGAGGTCACAATATGATGAATTCACCTATATTTAAAAAAACAAACAAACGTGTCTTTAACTTTTACAGTTTCTTATATTTAAATCTTTAATGTTGTGAACTTCACAGCACAAAAACTAGAATAAATTGCCAGCTTATTAGTTTTTTTATGGACAAAAATTAAATTAATACTAATTAAATCGTTAATTACACTTTATGCACAGCTGGACGACTATGTGACCAGAGAGTAGAGGAACAAGAACCAGAAATCCACTGAGTTAAAGACACAAATGAGTGAAATGTTTATAGCTGCACTCGTCCAGCGCAAAAGGCAGGACTACTCTGACACTGAATATCCTCACAAAGGTCTGACGCGGTCAAACTAGAGGCAAACAAACAGCCTCTATAGGCCTTTATATATATTTTTATACATTACATATTTATATATAGATCATAATAAGTTTACAAACAATATATATATATAGTATTATGTATGTATATTGTATTACATATGTATACATATATGTGTATATTGTATTATATATATGTATATATATATGTGTGTGTGTGTGTTTCCACACAAAAATTCTAATTTATTTCATTGATAAATTTAGTTTTGGCTTAATATCATAGCTCGCCGCTAGGTGGAGGTAGAGGCTCTAGACATTTGTCTTCAGAGAAAACACAGTTCTTGTAGTAGAAGAAGAAGCTGTCAGATAAAATGGTTCTGGGACGAAGTTAGCGACCTGGCTAATGTCAATATTCACCAACAAGCAGACCGAAAGGACAGCGACGTTACCCGATAATTCCTGAGACGAATGAAAGTGTATGTTTACAAACAATTCATACAGACAATACAGAGTATAGTTATTAACCTCACGTTAGCTCAATAATAATCTTAGTTAGCACGTATTAGCTTAGCTTGTCCTGAATTACCGATCTTGGAAGGCTTTCCATCACAAACACACATCTTTAATACGGTTAAATTGTCAGAAATAATAAATGAAATGCGTCTCTATGAGACTAAGAATATGTCGAGAGGTAGTTTATGAGATAATCATAATGTTTGAGAGCTAATGCTAACTTAGCTTTTACCAGCTATGCAAGTTCCTTTAGTTAAACCGAAACTAACTGCATTTTAAATTAGTCATACGTTGGATGTTATAAACTTTTATTAAAAGTCGTTAATCTTGCCATACTAAAATTCTGGTGTGTTAAATCTAAGAAACAGCGTGTGTGTTTATTATCTAGGTTTGATGTGAGTCAAAAAAAGAAACAAAATGCTATTTGTTCTGTCATTTAAATAGTAATATTTGTACACTTTACAGTGCATTTCTGCAGATTGACTTTCTGGATCTACTCACAGTCTTTTCCTCGTCCAGTCTTCTTCGCTGAAGTAAGATGAGCCAAAGGAGAGGCATCCATTTGGATCAATCAGAGTTGCTCTGCAAGAAAGGATGTGGGTTTTATGGCAACACAGCCTGGCAAGGCCTGTGCTCAAAGTGCTGGCGAGAGGAAAATCTGCGAGACAAACAACAGCAGATTCAAGAAGACTGGGCTCTTGCTGAGAGGTTTGTCTGGCTCCGTTGTCACGTCTGTGTAAAATTCAGAGTAGCAAATATAATCCTACCTATCGGCCTTGCGATTGTCTGACTGTCCATTTTAGTTACTTGATTGTTTTCTTTCTAGGTTGCAGAGAGAGGAAGAGGAAGCGTATGCAAGCAGACACCAGAGGACCCAATCACAGCCTTCAATCACAACCGTTAAGAAGAATGAAGAAAGAAAGACAAAGGAGAAGTCAAGCAAAGTCCCAAAGTTTTTTACTCAGTCAACAAAAACACCACCAAAAAAAGGTTAAAAAAAAATAAAAAAAAGTGGGGTGGATACCAGTGGTTCTGAACTTTTTATTTATTTATTTATTTTAGGGGTGCACCGATTGCAGTTTTCTGGCCGATCACCAATTTCTAAAACGTCTGACCTGCCGATTCTGATTTTGGCCGATACGATTTTGTTTTATAAGCGACACTGTCAGGTGTTATATGGTCACAATGCACCTTCAATTTTCTAATCTGATTTTATTGAAAAACATACTCTTGAACAACATCCTAGAAACATTACAAACTTGTTTTAACTGGCCATGAGGTAGTGCTCTGAAATATAAATGAAGTTCAGACAATTGTTGTTAAAACTAAAAAAATCTGTAAAATCGGTTTCTCATGCAAGTATCGGGCCAATTTCCCAAAATTAAGGAAATCGAGGCCGATTTATCATTGCTCCCCTAATTTATTTATTTATTTATTTGAAATCCTTAAATTGGCCTCAAACACTTTTCTCCTGTTTTCAAGCCTGCATGGTGATAATATTTATTTTTATGAGAACTCTGACAAGTGTGTGGGAGATTTACCTGGAACTGCAAGTTAAGGTATAAAAGAAAGTTTATTGAGAATTCAAAATTATTTTAAGTTTGTTCTCCAGGGAACAGTAATTTGACGCTGAATCGTTTAAAGGTGATCAAACTCATCTTAGTAGCTGAAAATTAGGAAAAAATTCCTATTGAAGTTCACAAATTAAATTGATGTGTTTTCTGAATGAAAGACAGAATTGTCTGCAGTGAAAAATCGCAGGAGCTTTTCTGGTAACACTTTTTCCAGATCTGCTGTTCAGGTTTTATGTAAAGAACAAATTTGCTTTGCACAAAACTTAAAATAGGTTGTGTTACATCATTCCTAGGGTTGCTGTTATAAAAACTCATTGCAGCACAGAGCATTTATTACTGCACGTTATGTGCAGAAATCAGGACAGGATTGTCAAAGTTTCTGCAGCTTTGATGAAAGTAAAATCCAGTGTCTTTTCCCAGATGCTTCTTCATTCGACGCACAGTCAGCACCGAGACCCAGCTCCTCAGTGAGTAGACACGCGTCGTTGGACAAAGACCGTGCAACGTGGGAGTTCATAGATTTTCTCAAGCCTTTGAAATCTGGCAGAGAAATCTTCAAGCAGTGTCGCGCTTTCACAGAGAGCATGGCGTATAAACGGGTGAGCAAGTCCAGACGAACTCTTTCAAAATCATCTTCAGTTTTAAAGTCAGACAGCACTTAATGTTTTTGACATTTCAAGCTGTCATCATTGCCCTAAAAGTTACTGCAAACAGTTTAATTGCAAACTTTTAAACTTGCTAAATTTATTATTATCTTGCCAAAACAAAAAAAAAAGTTTCACAGTATAGTTTACGTCTAATAAAAAAATAATACATTTTTATGGTAAATAAAGTTGAATATGTGTGTGCATGTTTTCCAGTAATTAACTACTATATTGTTTCCATTATACTGCCAAAACCTAAAATTGATGTTCTGAAATTTTTATAAAAAAATATTCTGAGCTGTTGATTGTGCCTTTTGTGCTTCAAAGAAAGTAATTTATTGTATGATGAGCATTAAAGATCAGTCATTGGAGAAATTCTTTAAACTTCAATTTGATTTAATCTTTTTCAATCTATTACGTTTAACATGTTATTTTCATGCATATTATTACCAACTTTGATCTGCTTCTGTGTTTTAGTTGTGTTTTTTTGCCATAAATCTTGTTGTATTGAAGCTAAAATGTTTATTTTGAATCTTTCTTCAGGATATTGGGGTTGATGAACTGTCAGATTGCGTGCAGGACTTCTACCAGAACCTCTCAGAGGGTCGCCCCGTCCCGCTCAAAGGTACGCCATCACTCTTTAACCCAATAAGAATCTGCTTGTAGTCAGTAATAATATTCACAAAAAGGTTGTTATCCCTTTATAGCTCATTTTCATTGTATGTATTTGCTTTGTAGGTTCAACAGATCATATTGAGAGAATTATGGATGAAGTAGAGAAGTACATGATGACTCGCCTCTACCAAGAAGTTTTCTGTCCTGAGACCACAGATGATGAGAAGAAAGATCTGGTGATTCAGAAGAGAATCAGGTTTGCAAGCAAAGGTTTTAATATTTGCTGCTGGTATTCAAAGCAAAGCAGAAAAGTTAGATTGTCCTGATCGTGTTTTGTTACAGAGACTTGCACTGGGTCACCATTGAGATGCTTTGTGTGCCTGTAAATGAAGAGATCCCCGAGGTCTCTGACAGTGTGGTCAAAGCTATCACAGGTGAGTGAGACTCACTCTGCGAACCAAGACAAGTAATCTCTTTCAGATATTATCTCCCTGTATTTGCCTTGTTTTAGATGTCATAGAAATGGATTCAAAGCAAGTCCCCAAAGACAAGCTTGCCTGCATAACCCGATGTAGCAAACACATTTTCAATGCCATCAAAGTGAGCAAGAAGGAGGCTGCATCTGCAGACGACTTCCTCCCGACTCTCATTTATATAGTGCTGAAAGCAAACCCTCCACGACTGCACTCTAACATCCAGTACATCACACGTTTCTCCAAACCCAGCAGGCTCAGGACTGGAGAGGATGGTTACTACTTCACTAATCTGGTGAGGAAATTACTTTTTTAGCTCACCTTTCTGCTTTTAAATCATTAAACAGCACCACAGACTACACCCTCCACATGTTTGAGGAAGTCCAGTTAGCACCAAGTGGAACGTAACTAATTGATGGTAGTGGAAAGGTTTACAAAACAGCAAAGTCCATGCTCAATAATCCAGGTATACAATCCAACATTTTTCAGTCAGGTCATCTGGACAGTTTCTTTTTTGTGCTGAAACGTTTCGCCTTCGGTCCGGAAGGTTTCATCAGTCAAGGAAGCACAACAAAACTGATTCTTCCCCCAACAGCTTACTCCAAAGTGGAACAAACCAGACCGGACCGAAGGCGAAACGTTTCAGCACAAAAAAAAAAAAAAGAAACTGTCCAGATGACCTGACTGAAAAATGTTGGTTTTACAAAACAGTTTCTTTTTTTTTTTTTTTTACTCAAACAAGCTTAAGTCAGGTCCTCTGCACGGGTTCTTCTTTGTGGAAACGTTTCGTCTTTTATCCAAAAGACCTTCAGTCTGAAGAGCTGCAATAAACTCAGTAGTTATGTTTACATGGACATAAGTAATCGGATTAAACGCCCCATTCGGATTATTCTGAGCTGATTCATTTTTTCATTTAGCCTTTATTTATCCAGGTAGTCTCACTGAGCCACAAGAACTCATTTTCAAGAGAGACCTGTTTATGGAGCAGATGGGGGTTAAGGGCCTTGCTCATGGCCCCAGAGTGGGGCGAATGAAGGTGGGGGCAGGTGTGGGTACTTCACCTACCCCCACCCACATTTTTGATGTTGTTGGTACATTAAAGTCGCAGCACATCAGCAGTTTCTGACATAACACCAATCTGTTTGCCACCAACAACCAAGTCACTTAAATCTCTTCCTCGTTTTGGTGCTCGTTCTGATTTTCAGCCTGTCATCTTCACGTCTTATGTCCACGTGCACTGACTTATTGCCATGAGAGTGTCCGATTAGCTATTTATGTTAGGAGGCAATAAAGTGGCAGGTGAGTTTTTATGGTCTTTTATAAATCTTACCATGTAGTCAGTCAGTAACTGTTCGTTTTCAGATTTTTGTTAGTTTAAGTTGATTTTGTTTACCACTGACTTCTGGTTTAAAGTCTAAAAGATTTAAATGTTAGTGAATATGGGTTGAGGGGGTTGTTACACACTCGTTCATTGTTTCAACTGTTAGGGCGACTAACATAAAGTATTGGTGTTGATGTTCAGAGGTGAGATTTTTAACGGCCCTCCATGTTCTCCTCCTCAGTGCTGTGCAGTGGCTTTCATAGAGAAACTGGACGGTCAGTCTCTGAACCTGAGCTCCGAGGAGTTTGAGCTCTACATGTCGGGCCAGGCGTCCCCCCACTGGCCACAGTCCACTGGAGCCACCGCCTCCTCTTCCTCGGGCAACGCTGCTCTCGCTCAGACCCACAACAGCCTGGACCTGCTGACCGGTCTCGGCGAGAGGCAAGAGCGCGTCATGGAAAAGGCTCGTCAGATGGAGAGCGACCTCATCGACTGGACGGACGAGGTGGAGCAGACGGTGCAGAGCGCGCTGGACGCATTCCCTCTACAAACACAAAACTCCACTGCAGCCACAGTCGGCGGCACGGAGCCTGCAGCGTCCTCTGCTATCGACTCGGATAATGTGGAGAACGAGCTTCTGCCCCCGCCGCTGACACCTCAGGTGTTCGCTGGCTGATATGAAAACCGCTCAGCAGAGGAACCACTAACAGCTTAACTTTGCCCCCTCCTCCTATGTTGCTCTTAGCTGTTCATGTGCACGTCCAGCAGCTGTTGAAGCTGGATCACATTTTCACTCCGACGTCTCCACTCCGTCCATCATTGTCTTTAGGGACAAGTCGGGCGTTTTAGCACACAGTTACTTTCTTGCAAAGTTAAACGAGAAGATTGACACCACTTCCAACATCTGGGCAGCAGATCAGAAGCTGCAGCCGGATGTGTAGTTTAGCCTGATAGCTTGACGCTGGAAATAGCAAGGTCACTTTTTGGCATCTTTTAAAGCTCCCTTTTGTCTTGCTTTGTATCAAAATGTGACGTTACTTTAGATTTTATGCCTCTAAAACTGCTGCATGAGGGTTTTTTTTAACCACAGCTTGTTTTTGTCCAACAAACGCAGTGTTAGGTGTTAATCTCCATATAAAGTCCTGTTTAGTTTACAAGCTGTGCAAACTCAGTTTGACATGATGAAGTAACAAAGAATGATTTGCACATATTTCCACAGATTTGTGCCTGATCATCTCGAGGGTCTCTAACTGCAGAGAAAAACAAAAAGACTCCAATCGAAGCTCTTCCGAGACACAACTCAGAACGTCAGTACTTCTTATAGCTGTTACATTTGTGCCGTCTGGGTAACGATTTCTCAAACATTTTTGGGGGGACATTGGTGGAAGTGGAAACAGCTGTCCAGGAAACATCCTGTTAAGTTAACAAGGATTAGATTTTGTAAAAAGAAAAAAAAAACTAAATTGAAATTTCTATTGCTGAAATTACCTTCCACTGTATCATTCTTGGATTTTGGGCTGCATTTAGCCAGTATCCTCCACACTCCTCTGAAGAGAAATAGTGCATGTATCGAGTGTCTCATACATGTTTCCTTCATGTCCATAAATTGGTGCGTTTGTGTAGATATCTTCTTGGTTTCATGCCAGATTCCAGTTACGAGCTGGACGGACAAAAGTGATTTTATTTTTCTATTGAGTGGCAGATATTGATTCTTCTCGGTGACGTTAAACTTGTAATATTTACAGTAGCTAAAGAGAATTAAAGATGACTTTTGATTTATGAGGTCCTCAAGAGGCTGCATGGCTGCTGAAAGAGCAGTTCATGGTGAAATGATATTATTTTGCTCTGTCAGAGCTTTTAATTAGACAAAACGCTGTTTGACTGCAAACAGGAAGCATCAGAATCTCTCAAACCTGTTGTTGCTGTTTATAGAATGATTTATTTGTTTAGAAGCACTTTGTCTGATTTTAAAGCTCCTTAGGCTTCCCGTTAAATGAAAAGAACAGGTGCAAACTATTTATTGTATAGTTTAGCAGTTTTATAGTGAAGGAAATGTTTTACAGCTCCTTTCCTCATGAACTAAGATTTTATTTCTCTTTTCCGTTACAAGTCTTGAATGTTGTTGCAACAGGATGCTCCCGTCTGCAGCTGCTGGGTCTTAATGCAAGTTCCAACAACAGATTGAAATGCACTGTATGCAGACGATATTTTGTATTTTAAAACGTTATTTTTTTGGATCGTTTCTTTATAGGTTTGTTATAATGCCACGTGGGAGACGTTGACTCTACTGCCTTTAATTTAAAATTAACTTATTGGGACACTTTTATTGGCTTCTATGGGTGTGTGATGATCAATAAAAACAGAATGCTTTAAGGCCGTGTCATCGTTTTATGTCGCTGCACTGTTCCACACTAAATGAGACTTTGTTCATAAAAATAAAAGTCCAAACATTCCATGAACTGCATGTTACTCTTTGATGCCAGAGTTTCAGATTAAGAGCTCTGTTTTGGTGAAGATGTGACGCTGCAAGGTAAGTATGTTGTGAACGACTCCGCTACTACCACGTCATGTTTTAGACCAGTGTCTGTAAATGTGTTTTAGTTTGCTGTAGCAGCCATTTTGAATAGGGTTGACTCATTTATTTATTAAATTTAGTATCTGGCAAATCCCATTGAGATCACAGATCTCTCATAAAGAGGGCCTGAAGGCAACCTAACGTGCATGTGGGAGGTGTGCGTCCAAAGATTACTTTCTTTATAGACTTGTTTCTGAGATGTCTGTATAAATCAGGGGCTCTCAAACATTTTGGGTTCAGGGACCCCCTCATAACCCTCATGTTTAATCATTTTCTTAAATTTGTCTCTTTAATACTGTACAGTAGAAATATTTGTGTAACATAAATTCTAAAGGCCTGCTCTTTAATAGTAGTGATATAATTTTTATACCTTTAAACATGGGGTATTTTTCTTTCAGGACACAACAAAAATTTTAATGTCAACTTCCAAAAATGACAGTTTTGATAAAATTACCAGTATCAAAAACCACTTTAAAACTTTACCTATGCACATAATGAACATAGATGTATAGACAATTCTTCAAATTATTACAGAAAATTCTTTAAATAAAACTGAACAGAATCATAACAGTAGTAGTCAGACCAAGTACCAGGGCTTAATTTGTTAACTGATCAATGCCAGAAAACACATAGCTGGGGGGTGGGGAGTCTGAGGGTCCTCCCCCAGGAAATTTTGAATAAAGTAGATGTAATTTCCTGCATTTTGGTGTATTTTAACAGTTTGTTAAATGTCTATGTACTTGTAATTAAATATATATATATATTTATTTATTTTATTTTTTTTTGCAGACCCCAAAGTACCAGCTCGTGGACCGCCGGGGGTCTGGAGACCCCAGTTTGAGAACCACTGGGATAAACAACACACTGATTTGCACAAAAACATAAAAATATTTTTTACTTTTGTGATGATGTACAGTTACTAGCAAATAGATGTACATAAATGGATATAAAATACCTAACAGTTTAGTATTTTATCCTAACATTCTACATTTTTAGATAAAATTGTTACATAAATACAATTAGTAACAATACCTGATGTGATTTAACTCTGAAAAGGGTTTATAATTTCAGTTTTTCCAAAGTTACCTAAGATCAGTTCTTGGTATATTTCTGACTGGGCGTTGGTACGTTTTCAGCTGAATTTCTTTTTCACTTCCTCTAATTTTTCTCGTGTTTCAATTTCCAGAAACTCGTCTTAAATTAGATTGAAACAAATATATAGATTATTAAAGATACTGTGTAATAATTGTAATATAACGGTTTACATTGCAGAGAAAAAGGCAGAAAAACTCTCAAATATAACTAGATTATAGAATTTATTTTAGGAAAAATAACATTATTTGTTTAACTTTTTCTACTTTTGTTTTAAAATCTTGAATTTAGAATCGATAGCCATTTTTAACACATCTTTACACTGAAGATACAATGACATGATTTTGTAAACAAGGGCAGTATATTTGATTTTTTTTTTTTTTTTTTTTATGACGTCCTGTGTGGTGAAATAGCACCTGGAAAAAAAACATTTTCACTTCTCTTAATCTGAATTAAAGGACTCTCGTCTCTTCTCTGTTTCTCAGTGAACCCAGTTTGCAGAATGGATGCAGTCATCTCCTTTCTCTGTAAGTTTTATTTGTTTCATTTTGGAGTTATTTCATAAATTATTCAAGTTTGATCATTTTAACAAGTGTCATATTTCACATGCTTTTTCTCCCCAGTTCTTTTATCCCTGACATTTGTATTTGGAGGTAAAGAATAAATTAATATATTTTATGTTTGTAAACAAGAAAATCTGTGTTCTGTTAACTGAAGACTTATTTTAGCCGTTCAGATCCCGTTCAGAAGGTTGAACATTTATAACCAGAACCCCTCTGTGGGTTTTCTCCTCTTCAGACCCCTTGGTCACCTCCTACAGGGCCTTTGTTGAGATTGTTTCAGAATCGTCAAGGATCTTTTCTGGAGAGAGTCTGCAGCTGAGATGCAGCATTCCTGACGCCTACATGTCCACCTGGAGCTTTCTGTGGTTCAGAGGATCCAACCAGCTCCCACAAACCGGGGAGACCATCCGGCTATGGAACGTCAAGGTCAAAGAGAGTGGAAAGTTCTCCTGCCAGGGAGCGAGAGAGACAGACATGGGAACCATCAAAACCAAGCCAAGCCCGCCTGTGGAGATCAGTGTGGATGGTAGGATCTTATTTTACCAAATTATAAAACGTTTATTTCTTCGTTTGAACTTGAAACGATCACTGCTGATCTGATGAGCTTCTCTTTTCTCACTGAGCTGTGAAACTATCTGCTATGACTCATTTCTTCAGGTTGTAAAGATCTGCTTGCTTCTTTGTAATCTTTCTAAGGAGGGTGGGCCATCCTGTACGCACCACCTCACCCTTTCCTTGTTGGAGAAACCATGAACTTGACGTGTCGCCTTCGAGTGAACCGTCCGGTTCACGAGACCATCTTGTACAGAAACGGTGTTGAGGTGATGAGACAAAACGGCTCCATCTTGCATTTCTACTTGACTGACGCCACCCTTGAGGACAGTGGGATGTACTCGTGCAGAGCGTCTTGGGATGTGAGGAGACAGACACTCTCAGTGATCTCAGCTGCTACTCAAGTTCATGTTTTAGGTGATTTTAGTTACTAAATTACATCTTACAATAATTACCTACAAATACGAAATGCTTATTAACGTAAAATTAATTTAAAAAGACAGTCTGGTCATCATCGAGGTTATGCTATGTCAAATAATTATCATAGATAGTGCCATGGCTTAATTTGAGCCAGATCCTGCTGGAACAGGATCCGACAACTTTAATTTTGACAGGGTACGTTCCGGCAACCGTTTGCTTGGATCCGGTAACTCTCAGGCTTAATATTAGTAAAGTTATGAACAAATATGACTGCCTTGAATGAATAAAACTTATATTGGATATGTAAACTAAAAATAATTACATAAACACTCATTTTAAACACAACAGCCACGTACGAGCATACCAATATCAATTTATTTATAGAGCACTTTAAACAGCAACAGGGCCAACCAAAGTGCTGTACAAAAGAAAACAAACAATCACAGCAGACATGAAAACATAAAATAAAAATATACATTGAAATAGCAGTGGATAATAACTAAATGGACAACACTGTAGACTACAGACTGGATCAAAACAAATCACACCTTGTCAAAGACAAGGGAATAGAAGTGAGTTTTCAGGCAAGACTTAAAGACTGTGAGTGTGGGAGCCTGCCTGACACGCAGTGGCAACTCATTCCACAGTCTTGGACCTGCAACAGAGAAAGCCCTGTCACCTCTGAGCTTACAACGGGTTTCTGGAACTGAAAGGAGCATCTGGTCTGTTGACCTCAGAGAGCACGGTGGGACATATGGCTGTAGAAGATCAGTGACATAGGATGGGGCAGAACTGTTCAGTGATTTAAAAACATACATGAGTATTTTGAACTGGATCCAGAGGTGAATGGGTAGCCAGTGCAGGGAGGCCAAAACTGGAGTAATGTGCTCTCTATGGCCTGTACCAGTTATGCTGTATATATATATATATATATATATATATGTAAGAATAGTAGTACAAGAAGTAAGTACTA